TCAAACAATCTCTGGTACCGTTCCCGCTGACGTGTAATGTCCATGCATATTCTGTAGAGTGCACAAGTCACCATAAAAGTTAAATGCTAGGTTTTTAGATGATAGAAAATTAACTGTTCTTAATTGATGTGTTAAGCCATCATCACATGTTTTTTCAGAGTTTTTCATTGCCTTTTGAAATGTCTCTCTACCTTTTATGGCCTTTACTGCTGGTTTGTGACTCTGAGAGATCGTGTGCCTCAGGAGTGATGAGCGCTGGTAGTCCGTGCTCCCTGGCGGCAAAGTAAATATGTTGTTCTTCTTTCCTCGCACACATACACTACACTTCATTTTCTCCCTGCCGGATTCCCCTTCCACAAACAGCCACGCCTTGAATGCTGTGTCATGCAACCAACTTTGTTGAAAACGTCTTATTTTCGACTTGATTTCAGGCGTCGCTTGCACCATGCTTTTTAATTTCTCCGAACGAGGCTCGAAACGGGAGCGGCTATTTAAAGGTGTGGGACGAGCATGTTTTAACTTGATGGACAAGCTAAATTTATTATCAAGATTAGGAATTTAGTTTAAATTGATTTTGACTTTGTTTTGTACATAATGTCGGTAAATAAACTCTAAATGTGTCGATTAAAAAATTTAAAAGTAACGTTGTCAACTAGATTCTCCCCATGTCGCCGCACACAAAACGATGCAGCTGTCTAGAGAGTGGTTTAACTTATTCATTCGGTAACGGTACATATGTATGAATGAAAGTTGATGTCTTTTAAGCCATTTGTATGTATTATAGCACCGGGGCTATGTATAAGCGGGTCTGTTAAAAGGAAAAGGGCTTACCTTAACTTGATGGCTCGCCAAATCCGTGATTTTTTAACTTCTTAACTTCTCTCTTAATTGATGCCCCAGAGCGCCTTGCGCGCCATGCTCTAACTTCTTACACTACTCTCACTGCGCATGTGCCGTGATATGCTTCCGGGTCATATGATGACCCCTCGGCACTACACTCTCCCCCGTTTTACCTTGAAGGACCGTGCCTTCTCGGTCGTGTCAGTGCCAAGTCCACTAAAAAGTCCACTAAAAGTCCACTTTCCTCCGTGGGAAAGGGAAAATACCCTCCTGTCCCCGTGGGACTCAGGGGATAAGTGCTTGCAGTGATGATGGGCGTCCCATCAAAACTACTAATTCTGGTCAGGTCGCACCCAGCCTGACCACACCCTCACCATTCTAAGTATCAGGGCCTCTCTTGTCCAGGTACAAATGCCGTGCGTTGTCCCGGGTCTGGCGTAGGAGTTTCCGCCATCGCTCCCCTCTGATCACTGCAATCAGCTTGGCCACGTGACCAAGAAGAGCAGGTGTGGAGCACTTGTTCCTCTGAATATTGAAGTATGGAGTCGGTCTCCAGGAGTAATCTCCCAAGAGGTAGAGTCCTCAGCATGTCATGCGCCTTGGCATTGACAGGCCCCTCTTGCTCAGCAAAGCGCCCCGTGATGCCGAAATATGTATTTGGATAATAGCGGACAAAGGAACGCACCATATCCGGAGACCCTAAAAAGCAATGACAGTGAATTAGCTGTCGGGTCCCTATACCCACAGCTCTCAGCTTGTCCAATATCAAGTGCCAGACCGCATCGTCGGCATCAGTGCTGGTGTTTAACCCTCTCCCGTGGAGGACTAGCACGTGATTTGGTTCCAGGAAATGAAGGGCGGCCTCCAGGTTGCATAGTTGGTCCTCCCACCTGGACGGCATCACCGACCTATCTAATCCAACCTCTCCCAGTGCCGTGACTGAGAGGTGATTGATAATGGACTGGAACTTAGCCCATTCAGTTGAAGTGCAATAGTGCCTTGGGTGCATTCCAATGGCAATGACCCCGCCTTCTCTCTTAATTGCTTCCATTTCACCCTTCCGTGGGGTAAGTGTTTGGGTCACAATAGACCGCGGTGAATCCATCGATCTTCACCTGTTTCCACCGTGGGAACGGCCGCTAAGATCTCTTTCAAGCCAGCCCTGGCGTCCAGGGATAACTTGGTTCTGGTACGATCAATATGACAGTGGGAATCGTATCCCACTGGGGACTGAGGCAGCATCTGCAACTCCTCAGGCGATGGGCTAAACAACGAGCGGAATTCCTCCTGCCCCTGGATCAAGGTCATGAGATCCAGCAACACCTCCCATCTCAACAACTGGGGTATACGGCTGGACGTTCCAAGCCGCATATGCGCTCTAAGGGCATCTATGCCCACTTGATCAACAGGGCCACCCCTTTTCTCTACACTGGCAGCATCCAGCAAAATCTCTAGGGTCAAGTGAGACCCCACAATTCTCTTCTTTAGGTAATGGAGGGCTGCCACTCTCTGCTCCGTGATCCCTGGCGAAGAGCTCAATTCAGGATGAAAGATAAGAGGCAGATGCTACTCCGACATTGGCTGGCCGCAACCTGCCAAACAATACTTAGGCCGTGCCTCACAAGGATGTTCTAATCTTTTCCATGAGGATTGCCCCTGATGTGTACTCCCTTGTCTCCTATTAGGAGAACAAGAACTGTCACTTCCATGTCGGCACCGTGGCCTTTTGGCGGGAGGGTGAGTGGGCTTACCCCCTCTCTTGGAATATCCTCTTTCTGCGGGAGGAGCCATCAGTGCAGCTCGATAACTCCCCGGAGCCTCGCTAGGGTACCGTGACCCTCCTGCTCGCTCCTGTGATCTCGGGTTCCTTGAACCCGTTAGTGGGTGTGGCGGGGGCCCCTTTGGTCTGGCACCCCTTTGGGCACCCCCTCCTCTAGCAGAACTACGCCCACGGGATTCCTTCCGCCTTGACTCCTTTATTTGCCACTGGAATTCTGGGCCCTCTGATCCTGACCCCTGGTCAGTGGACTCAGAGACCCGTGTCCCTGATCCTTCGGTCACTGCCACAGAGTCTCCTGACTCTGACTCCATTCGCTCCGGAGGCCGTGCTCTGGATTCAAGGCTTTCCAAGCCTGCCTCAACACACATTGGCTCCGTGGCCCTTGACTCCGACTCACCTCCGGTTCCCAATTCCCTTGGATCGGTAACCGGTGGCGTTTCCTGGGGAACCCATGATTCTCCCAGAGATTCCAACTGCGTCCCAGAGCTCCGTGGCTCCGTCTGCTCACTCCACAGCTCAGAGTCCTTAGACTCTGCCTGTGTCTCTAAGGGCGGAGTGTCCAGCACCCGCTCGTCAGCCGGGCTGTCACCCCTGCCTGCCCCTCCAAGACGGCCTCGTCAACCTCCATAGATTGACCTACATACAACCTGTGCTGCTCAATAGTTGGGTCCGTGCCCAATCTTATATCACGAGCAGGCCCCGTGGGCTCAGCTCGCACAGTCTGCTTGCCAGATGGAACCTGTGCCACGTTGTCACAGATCCATGCGTGGGGGCGGAATTGCACTGCTAGCAGCCCTTGTGCTATCTTTTTCCTCCACTTCTCCATAGCTTTGTGCCGTGCCAAAGCTACTCGGCGCAATATTAAATTGCTGGCTTGCCCCAGGCAGTCCTTGGGCGCCATAGTCACTCGATCCACCAACTCATCCATTTTCTGAATTGGCCATATTCGTCCTTCTGCCGTGCAGATTTCAATGTCCACCACCAAGTCCTTCCATTTCCGGCTGTCCTTCTAGAAATAGAATGAAACAATTAAGTGCACATTCCATCTCATAGCTCTTAACTCATTGTCCCCTGCAGTGACTGCTGCACGATCCCCTACAGCCATTAACACCAAATCTGGCCACCACCATGTGGTGGCGCCATTGTCAGCACTCTCCTATATCTCTGAGGAAATTCAATATGGCCTTTTTCTAGGTCTGTTGTTTTGTTTGTTCCAAATTTTCAGGGTTCTTAAGGCATGAAATTGGTATAATATGAAATTCTTTGTAACTGGACATATTCAAAATATTGTTATTTATTGAATGGGGAAGATCAAGTCCGAATTATTTGGTCTATAAAAATTGAACAATGAATATAAGTTCAACAACTGTTTATAAATATATAAAATATACATCATAATACTTCTTTAGATTATATCAACAGGTACAAAAAAAGACAAAATTCTACAAAATATGATTAAAAGATGAGCATCAGATTACAAAAAAGTATATTTATTATCTATGATATGCAGTTGTGATAAGATAAACATCAGCTTAAAAATACTACATGAACCCTGACACGGAGACATGCCTTTAATTTGTTCTTTTCACTTAGAGTCATTGTATGTTGCATATGCATTTATATTTTCCAACAAATTGTTCAGTATTTCATCAGTAAAGAACAGTTTTTAAAGTCTAGTTCGTCTTTGTCACCCGTCAGTTCATGTGTGAATCCAGGTAGTTCACCACAGAAAAGCTCCTTGTCCACCTCCCACAGATCGTTTTCCCACTGACTTCTTCTAAAATCTTCACTAATGCTGCCTAATTCACTTTCAGACTATGTCTGTAAAGTGTTATTCAAAAGAAATATAGCTCAAATAATTGCTGTCAGACTCGCTGTCACTAACATATCCCGAAAATTCGACCCAGAGCTCTCATCAAAAATACTCATGTACAGACACAGATGTGTCTGTACATGAGACACAGATGTGTCTGTACATATTGCCATCACCTGCATCTGTCGTCGCCGTCGCCGTGCACTTTCAGCGTTAACACCATAAGTGGAAGACAGTTTTACTTTTTGGCTTTATATTTACAGAGTTGACTAATATTCATAAAACGCAGATCAAGTTCGAAAATCAGCATGATCGGGCCATTATTGTAAAATTTATCCTGTTTTTTCACTTTTTAGCATATATGCAACACTGTTAACACATTTCAAGGAAAACCGATAGGCCTGTTGTCATGAAACTCACAGAAGTTATCAATCTTACTAAAACGCAGATCAACTTCGAAAATCGGCATGATGGGGCCACTATTTTAGTAGTTATGCTGTTTTTTTCACTTTTCAGCATATGTGCAACACTGTTAACACATTTCAAGNTGCTTCGTGAAGTGGCACTATAACTAGCGTGAGGCTAACTATCGATCGCTAACTAACTACTGCTTTGTGAAACCGGCCCCAGGGCAGAAACCACCATATAATTTCCCACTGATGGCCATACTAAGAAATGCCTGTAAAACTGCATGAACAAAATAAATAGGTGAAACATTTCACATCCCCATTGACAGCAAACACACTGACATAACTCCAAATGGCACAAAAATATACTGTCATCAAGAAAACTTTCTTACCGGCATTACTTGAACATGTGCACCCCTCTGTTTGTAAACAAACCACTGCACCACTCACAGTCAGTAGCTCCCTCCGCCAGAGGTCTCACGCCAGAGGTCTCACGACTGCACCACAACTGTGCCTGGTCCTGAAAAAAAAAAAAAAAAAAAAAACTGGCAGTAGTTTACACACTAGCCTGCTAGTTGACAACAAAATTAACCCTAGCAACACACAAGAAATGTCAGGAAAAAATAGAAAAAAAGCACTAATTTTCTCCCACTGAACTACATTTGTCAATAACAGTTGGTGATTGGTCCATTTAGTGGTTTCTGCCCTTCACAGAACCCCCCCCCCCCTTGTTCTTACCTTCAGACACCAAAAATTAAAACCTTCATACACTGCCAACTGCGCTGCCCAATATGACTGAGAATGATCTCTTGGTGACTGAGCCCTGTCAAGTTGAAAATGTGGTTGCTGTATATGTCACTAAGCCCACATTGCACCTGCATGGTGAGAAAGGCACAATTTCATGAATAATAAAAAGTTAAATGCAAATTTCTGTGGATGAATTTGCTTCAGTTGTTTTGAAATTTGGACACCTGATGCTGGACATAAGTGAAAATCTGAGATAAGCATATTACCTGGATGTGACTAGTTTAAGTGCACTTTGCTGAGGAATAAAGCGAGAGAAGTGTAAAATTACTAATAAAAAGATTTTAAAATATTTAAAAATTACTTAAACTTAAGTGCAAGGCTAATTGTCACAACTGTTGTTTATGTTGTTTGTTTGTGTTGTGAGAACACAGGAAAATGTCTTTCTCTGCATAACAATACTCACCACTAAGCTGGGTACCCCTCCCCCCCTGCCCTGCACTGGGGTCATGCAGTTGCCTGTTTTTCTGCACACCTGGGAGAGACAATACTATAAAAACACCTGTCCCTGGCTCCTGTCTCAGTAGTCACTTGCTAACCATGCTGTATGGTAAAGGTACCTGGAAAAAACAAAGAAATTAAAGGTGTATTTGTGAAGGGACACAAGCTAGCCTTTAGAAGACAGGAGTCTGACAGCCCTCCAGAGCCCATTGTAAGAAGTTACATCAGACTCAGCCAAGAGTTGTGCCAGGCAGCCTCCTCTCCACCCCCTCCTGGGCCATCAACAACCCTCAGCAGCAATCCTGATGTCTGACAGCCCTCCAGAGCCCATTGTAAGAAGATACATCAGACCCAGCTAAGAGTTGTACCAGGCAGCCTCCTCTCCACCCCATTCTGGGTCATCAACAACCCTCAGCAGCAATCTTGATACACCCGTGACACTAAGACATAGGAGGGCCCAGCCAGAGAGTTTAGTTTGTTCAGTAGCCAACCCCCCACCCCCCAGTAGCAATTATGCAGCCCCAACCCCCAGATGACAAATTCAAGTTGGTTTCAGGAGAAAAAATGGTCAATCTGGTCAAAAAAGACTTGTCAGAGCATACATCTAAGTGCACTAGCTGGCTCAATGGTTTGGGACAGCGAGGCAGAGAGCAAGTGGGGAGTGGCTTGGTGAATGTGACTAAAATGTGACCCATGTCAGTACAGGACAGGGAAGCAGAAACTATACAATGAAGTACAAATTATAAGCAAGCAGCAACAGTGAATGCAGGCTTGCAAGTAGGCCTGTCACAGAATATGACCTCTAATACAGCAATAAGGCAGATCCTAATGGCAAGCAATGTGACCCCACCCAGTCCATCAGCCATGCAGACACAAGCTAACAAAGTCAGTACAGCGATAACAGAATTGAAAGAAGCAATGCCGTGAAAACCTATGTCACATTCAGGATCTCAGAGGGTATGGAGGACAGCCCAGAGCAGTGGAAAGAGATGGGAGATACAATAATAGCCTGTTCAGTGGAGGGAACAAAACACCATACCAGCCAGCCACTCAGACTGTGTATACTGAACCAGAGAATGTGACCAGCCAGAAGGACTTAAATGGTGTTTACACTGATAACAAGCACTGCCATACTGCTTACCTGCTCAGAAGTAGAGGGGAAGATGTCTACTGTCCAGAGCACAGTGGAGTCTGCACAGCCAATCTATGTGCAGCAGATCCTTGAGGATATTTCTGGAGAGGTCACAGTTGGCACCTTAACTAGCTACTGATGGTGATAGCCGAGCCCACTCTGCATATGACAGTGTTGAAAGTCTTCGGAACATACGACACTTTACCAAAGCTCTGAAAAAACAAATAGAAAAAAAGCACCATTTTCTGGTCAAGTGTTTCCAGCAAAATCAAAAACACTAGAGACAAAATGCGAAAACACTTTGCTCAGCGCATATATAGCAATGCGCTGCTATTCTGCATTGATGACTTGCTTAAGAACAAATCAAGGGACCATAGAGTTGATTAAAAGGGCACTGAGATATGTTATTGACTCTATAATTAGTTGTTACAGTGGTGATTGTCAAAATTGTTTAAAGTTCTCTTATGTATGTAAAAGTGGCTCAGAAACTATTTTCCCTGAGATAGGCAAACTAGACTTTAGCAACTCTGAAGATATGCACATCTTAAGACAGTGCCTGAATTAAAGACTGGCCCCAAGGGCAATTGAATCAACAAAACTTAATTTTAATTAAAATACCAACACACAAAAAGTGGAGTCTTTAACCCATACATTTCAGAAAACTAATAATAAAGATGTCACCTTTTCTCAGAACTTTGCAGGAAGGATTAACAGTGCAGACCACTTACAGAATAATGGACTTAAACTATCCACTTTGAATGAGATGGCCTCTGTTGGTATTGTGCCAAATATCATTAAATATCTGGAGAAAGACGAAAAACAGATGAAAATGAGAGTGAATCACAGTAAGACACTTGCAATCAAGTTAAGAGCTAGAAGAGAATCCTTAAACGCTACACAAAATATGACAGATCTAAAGCATTGAAAAGTTATGACTATAGAAAATGCATATCTATGCCCAAACTTGTATTTCCTGATCACAGTTATTCAAAGAGAACATGTACTTTAAAGAAAAAAAAAATGATTTCAAGATACCACTATGTAATAAACTGGTTGTGAAATATACAATAGTTTGTTGGTCTTTCTTTTACTTAAAACTTAAAAATATAATTGAGAAATCTAGAAATGAACTAAGTGTAAAAAAAATAAGTAAATAAATAAATAAAACATTTCTGTGTAAGTTTTTATTTGATTGATCAAAAAATTGATGATTTGCCATTTTTTGAGAGAAATGATGCAAGACCACCACTTTTATAGCCTGTGCTGCTTTAAATTTAGAAACTAAGCCAAAGGTGAACAGTTGTCATTTTCCCCTTCAGGGCAGAAACCACCAAATAACAACCATGCGAAGAAATGCCTGCAAAACTACATGAACAAAAGAAATGGGTGAAACAAGTAAACTTTCTTACCGACACTACTTGAACATGTGCACCCCTCTGTTTGTAAACAAACCACTGTACCATTCGCAGTCTGTAGCTCCCTCCACCAGAGGTAAATTGACTGCACCACAACTGTGCCTGGTCCTGAAAAAAAAAAAATGGCAGAAGTTTACACCCTAGCCTGCTAGTTGACAACAAAATTTACCCTAGCAACACACAAGAAATGACAGGAAACAATGGAAAAAAGCATTAATTTTCTCTCTTTCTGAACTGCCTTTGTCTATAACAGTTGGTGATTGGTCCATTTAATGCCATGGTTTCTGCCCTTTCAATACCTTCCCATAATACAACAGCAGTTGTTGACGTCACAATGTTCAATGTCTTTCCATAATACAACAGAAATTCTTGATGTCAAAATGTGTCTTCCCATAATACAACAGCAATTGTTGACGTCACAATGTTTAATGTCTTCCCATAATACAACAGCAATTGTTGATGTCACAATGTTCAATGTCTTAATTCCCATAATACATCAGCAATTGCTGTTGTTAATGCTCAATAAATTTCCAACAACAAGAGACTAAGGCTTCGTTCACATGTAATGTCTATTTTCTAAATTCTATTTTCTATTCGCGGCATGTGTTGTGATCACCGTCTGTGCCCTGAATATCCCGCGGCGTAAATACTGGCAGCGCGACCCAGTTACTATAAGTTACTATAAGTAACTGGCTCGCGCTGCCGGTAATTACGCGGCGGGATATTCAGGGCACAGACCGTGATCATAAGATAGCGCGAATAGAAAATAGAATTTAGAAAACAGACATTGCATGTGAACGAAGCCTAAATTGAATACAATATGTAGCAAAGTTTTATCTTGTATTACAAAGTATTGAAGTGTCCAAAATGATTTTCTTACCTGTCTTCCCCCATGACTGTGACACATTCTATAGGCTATACAGTGGTAAAAGCTCTAAGATGGTTTGGGCAGCCACACTTTGTAAAGCACATCAGATAACAGTACTGTAGTATGGGGTGACTGAATGAAGCTGTCATCTTACTGGATAGCTCATCTTACAGTGTATCATATCAGTTCTCTAAGTCCATCTTCTCCTTTTTCAGCAATATACCCATGTACCACATCCTTTTCCATACACTAAAATTCAAAGAAATGAAATAATTAAAACTAATTTGCATTTGTCATGAAAGAAAACAATTAAAACTAGAGAGCAAAGCTTATAAATATACAAATACCAAATAAATTGTTTCAACAATGCTAAAGCAAGGCAGAAAAGTTGTCGAATGTACAGAAAAAAGGCAGAAAATGATGCACAAAAAGGTTACTTTGTCAATTTTGATGCAATAATATGTATATCTTTAACAGTAAAGTCAACAGCAACAGGCAAGGTGGACGTTAGGAATATGTTACCAGCATAATGCTCATGAGTGCAAATTCACACAGTAAATCTTGGCTCCGTTCGCCATGCGGAAGCTACCTGAGAAATATTAAGTGCGCATGCTCATCAATTAAACTCGAGGTGAAGAAAGCATGGCGGCTGGAGGCGATCGAAGGAAAAAAGCTCTTCTGTTCTATTATCTCTCAAAACAGAGACAAAAAAGAAATGAATTGGCCCGTAGAGCAGCAATGAATCGGCTATCTACGGAGATAATGTCACCAGAGATATTCACGGAGATACCCTGCCCCAGTAGATGGAGGAGGAGGAGGGCAGAATTTTTGCATATGCAGTCTCGTCAGAGGGCGCAGTTCGTTCTGATGCTGATGTTTGCCTTGTTCCCTAAGCCTGATCCAACTGGAAGGGGGGTGGGTGTTTTCACGATTTTGATCCCGATTCATAGCTGCTCTACGGCCCAATTCATTTCTTTTTCTCAGGTAGCTTCCACATGGCGAACGGAGCTGAGATTTAATGACTGTACCCCGCAGGGACGACGTGTGAGGAGGCGTGTGAGAGGCGGAGAGACTATTAAAAGATTAGGCAGTTTTCCTTTCATGTACATCCGCCATATTTAGTCTAAGGATTTGTAAAGCCTGGCTCAAATCATTGTGAATGCGATCTTACATGCACCTTACCATCTTACATTAGACAAATAAGAGAAATTGACTTGAACGATTTTACTGTACTTGGTAAGCTTTTAACAAAATGTGGCAGGTGCAATAATATGTTTAAAGTGGCCAACAACAAAAGATGAAATCTGGACAAGTTTTGAAAAGATCGTCCAGAAACTACCTGATCCAACCTACTCTTCTCAGAAGAGCAAATGATGTTTCACAACTATCAGACATTTTGAACGGTTTAAATGATCACATAATTTACACTACAATTTTACCTAACCTCTGTTGCTAAGATAATAAAATAAACTCTTTTTCTGGTAAAATATGGAATGTAAATTCTACAGATGCAGGAATCAACATATTAGTGATGAAATGGATACAGTAGTGGTAAAGGTATTTATGTAGTCCTTGAAAAGCAAAACAACCATTGTAACCATTTACCATTTGTTGAATTGAATAAATGTTTAATTAATTTTGCTTTCTTATCGTGTGACATTTGTCATATCTGTAATACTACGAATCCCGAATTCAGCTTCTAAAGTTTACTTTTAACTTTAAAAAATTAAAATGAATACTGTTGCTTTGGACCTAACCTTCATTACCAAATTGTTTATTTTTCATTTGCACATTGGATATGTTTGTGCTGATTGATCTACATTCATATTACAACAGATGGATAGCACTTTGTTCATAAACAACTAGTATGATATAAAAGAAAGTCTGTTCCCAGTGATTTCTAAAATGATATTTAAATTGGAATACCTCAGGCTTTGTATTTATAGAAAACATGTGACTTAATTATTACCAAAGTGTTAGCCCCGCATTTTCTATAATTGAAGAGAAATGTTAAATTAGTAACAATATTTTTGAATTCATACAAAATCTTGGCAACTAAATCAAAAATGGAACCTATGACGTATGGAATGATTGAAATATAACCTAATTTAGATGTTACCTAACCTCCATAACGAAAAATTATTGTATTAAGGGGCCCGCACACGGTGAGCATTCGGCGCGCGCCATGCACTTGCGCTGCGCCAGATGCTCGCGCTCCTCAGCTCCCCGCAAATGATGCACTCTTTGCTCAGCAGAGATGCCTCCCGGCCTGCCCCTATCTGACGCACCGCGAACTGTGGGATCATGTGATTAAGGAAACATTACATTTTTTTTTTCTGAAAGTAATGGCAAATGGTGACCACGTTAATCAATCAGACTAACTATAACTGTGTACATTTTTGTTTACTTCGCTGGAGGCTGCCATTTTTCTTTGTTTCCAGCTACCGGCACATGCGCATTGTTGGCATGGCGTGAGCAATCGGTGCTTGCACCCCGCACACGCTGAGACATTTGCCTCAAGAGACCAAAAATATCAAACACGTGAGATATTTTGCTCAGCCGCGCGAGAGGCAAAAATCTCACCAAAATAGCCCCGCACATGATGAGAAAACGGCGCAGTGCAAGTGGCGCGCGCCAAATGCTCACCGTGTGCGGGCCCCTTAAATGTTTACACGTGGATATTTCTTGAAATACAGTAATGGTTTGGGTTAAAATTCTTCTGCTACTATCTGAATACCTCTTCATTAAAATATTGTGAAAAGTTTCCCAGTTTTGCAAAGTTCATATTTCTGCATTTCTCATTTTGGAATTGTACCCTTTCTTCTGGAATGACCGAGATGCTATCAAATGTTAATTAGCTTTCAATTAGCATTGTTCACCACCTCCCCTTCTCTTTATATTATAACAACAAACTTTTTATCCAATTACATCTAGCTCAGCATGCACTCCTAATTCATATACTTTAATTTACTATAAATAGATGTCAGAGAAGTCTTTATTGTGACACAACAAAAAATAAAACTTGTTTTAAACTTATCAAGGAAATTGTCGCAACCACTTCAAAAACATTATGCTTAACCTCAAAGCCAAAAGCTCATGTTAGTCTGAATGAAGTAAAAACAATGATTAAAAAAATGGGAAGGACCTAAATGCAAGTGTAATCTCTGCAACGCCATGGAATGATGTATCAATGTAAACTTAATTAATTACCCACTATAATCATGTATCATACTATGTCAGCTTCTAGGCCTTAGTTTCCTGTTGTAATTTCAATCAATTAGTTGGAAACAATAGTAGTAAACACTGTATCATTATTTAATTTATTCTGTCAGTGAATAGCTACTCAGCTAATGTTTGTACATTTATTTATAGAATCAAACTCTTAGCATATCCCTTAAAATGTCAGTGTATGGTCCCACTGTTGTGAGAAGTGACTCGGCAGTGGGACTGAACATGGCACAATATT